ACATTACATCAAACTGCCAGAAAGCTCACAATTCTTAATCATCCTTGTTTTAGGCACAATCAAGGACTTGCTTCTTTCATTTAATGAAAACTTTACCACACCTTTTCACACTCCTGTAAAGTGCTACCCTTCCAGTGTCCCTACTTCTTGTTGCACTTGTCTGTTCCAACATCAAAACTTTAAATCCTAAGGAAGAGAGGGAAGAACTGACTTTTTTAATATTGACCCTATTATGTCTCTATCCCCATCCCACCTGAGCAATGTACCATTTGCCTGAGCAGGAACAATTCACAGTAATCTTAAATTAGGAAAAGCATCCAATACTTTCATATTGGACAAAGTGGCTACAGATAAAACAGAGACTTTAAAAAAAATAAACAAAATGCAGATGTGGATATTCAAGTCATGATGCAAAGACTTGGAGGAACCTGTCTGCCAAGTCACTTAAAGAATATGTTACCCCAATATTTCATTTCCTGATATGTGCTTGTTGTTCCATGTACTTGTGTTAAATATGTGTACTGTTCTCTTTGTATTGTTTCCTTGTGTGAAATCCCTAGTGATGCTGCCAATCCCCCTGCTTTCCTATTTGAAATGGACCACGCCAGAGCATGAGAGCACATCTATCTCAGCATGGTCAGTTTTCTGGTGCACGGAGAACAGCCTGTCTGCCCTTCAATGATCAGGCTCATGCTGGCCTGCCCCCCTTCCCCCCCTGCACAGCCATCCACTGGGAAGATCAGTATACTGCTGTTTCTACACCCCCCCCACCTCTCTAAGCCCCTTATGCAGCTGAGAACAGAGACTGTGTGATCACTTCTTTTAAAGAAGAAAACATTTATTTATGATATATATATATATAATATATATATATATATATATATATATACATATACATATACAGATAGATAGATAGATAGATAGATAGATAGATAGATACACACTGTATATATATATATACACACACACACACACACTTTGCCTTTTGTTTCTATTTTAAACCGAATGGGGTTGTTTTACAAGATATTTGCTCACATATACAATACTTTAACTTTAACATTACAAGCACAAAGATTTTAGCTGGCATAAACTGAAGAATAATAAAAGACACTTAATTAAAAGAAAAACATAATTGCTTTCAAAGTGAGGAATATATCCTGATAGAAGATATTCCGGTGGCTATGCTGGATCCAAAACTTGGTCCATAGAAATCAGAAACAAAAAAACAAAACAAAACTACAAACAGCAGTTGCCGTGGTAAAGCTCAAATAAGACACATGGCACTCACGTTTATAAGGGACCCCAGAATCTGCAATTGGGAGACCTTCAACAGCAGATCTTAATATGATATCCATACTGACAGTAAACAATCACTCACTCACAACACTTTACTAAAGGCAAATTGGCTGTTCACATTTCAAAGGAAGTTGCCCCAGAGTACAATGAATGTGGTGAAATTGCACTTTGCAAAGAGTACCCAATCACATGCATGGAAAACAAAACAAAACTGCATTTTTGTTTGCACGTGATTGGATTAGCTTCCAATCACTTCACCTCACTAAGCTTATTCCTTTGCAATGTGAACAGCCTAGTTGCCTTTAGTAAATCTACCCCAATGGCACTGCAACAAGTCAGTGTAAATAATGTCGTATTGTTAATTGTTGGTGGGCTAAATTTTTGTTCTGTTTTGATATACTGATCATGTCTCCTTTGTTTTGTCTTCAGTTGCTAAGCATGCAAAATAAAACACTAAAGCACTTCTGAAATTACTTATTTGCCTTCTGCTCTATTCCTCTCCACTTTTGAAATACACTATATGTGTCCCCTTTTTTACTTGTTTCTCTGAGGACAGCTTTGACTTATTGGCCTCCTGGACTGGTGTCACACTTCTTTGATAACTTCTCTGCCTGGCTACCTCACTGTCTCACCTCTGCAATACCCACTATTGTTTTTGGTGATTTTAACATCCCCATTAATTCTGCAGCCTCTCAACATCTCAACCTAACCTCATCTTTTGAGATAACACAATGGGTACACACAGTCCTTATAACTACTTACTAACTGTTAAAACCAATTGCCATTATCCTGTACTCATACTATTAGACCTTTCTGTTGACTTCGATACAGTTGACCACCTGCTCATCAAAAATTTACTCCCTTGGTCTCCAAGACTCAGCTGTTTCCTGGTTTTCCTCCTACAGTTCCTATCCAAGCAGTCCTTTAGTTTCACCTACAATTCTTCTTCCTCTTTTATTCTTCCCTCCATAGAGGTACCTCAAGACTCTGTCTTTGAACCCCTTCTATTGTCTATCTACACCTCCTCACTTTGTCAGCTGATTGTCTCCTATGGCTTTCAATATCATCTCTATGCTGATGACACCCAAAACTGTCTCTCTGCTCCTCAGCTTGCCCATTCAGTCTCCTTGCACATCACTAATTTACTAACTGAGATTTCAGTATCAATGTCACACCTTTTTCTGAAACTAAATCTTTCCCCACATGTCACACCCCTGTGTTGGCTGTCCTTCTCTGACAATTCTTTCAATGGTTTACGTTTGCTCAACAAGTAAAATTTAAAATTCTAACAACCACATAAAAAAGCCATTCAAAACTCTGCCCTGAGCTACATTGTCTACCTTGCCTCAAAATGTTACTCAAACCATCTTGTTTACTCCTCCTAAAACCTCCTACCCCTAGCTCCCTCATTATTTCCTATCATGCTCATCACCAGGACTTCTGCAGAGCCTTTCCCATCTCTTGGAACTCTCTACTCAAATTTCTTTATTTCCTACTCTGTCCATCTTTTGACAGTCCCTGAAAATTATTTTCTTTAGAGGAGCCTATGCTGCTTCTACCTGAAAACTGAACTTTTACTTTCTCCATCATCTCATAACCTCATAGTTACTTCCTTTTTGTATCATTTGCACCTGACTTTCAGAATGTAGGTTTTCATGAACATGGCGCTCCTAAACCTCTTGTCTTACATTGTTTTGTAACTGTAAAGTGTTGCACACACTGTTGGTGCTATATAAATCCATAATAATAATACTAGTATGCTGGATATCTTCAGCATATATTTATAGTAGTAAAGTAAAAATATATATATTCCCAGCACTCAAGGTTATAATTCCATACCACCTCCCAAATCAAATTCCTTTAAAAATTCCAAGTGTTCATAAAATTGTTAGCTATGCAACACTTGAGAAAGTCTATATGACAAAACGCTTTGAGGTGTGATGTCACACTTTGGGCTGGAACCAGAATTCACTGGTCATCCATATTTGTTTCTACAGAAGCATTTGTTTGCATTTTCAGTTCATGTAAGCATAGTAATTTGTCTCAAATAAAGCAGTTTTAAATTATTACATCATGGGGTTGTTTTTCCTTGTAATGTTTAAGACATTCTGTATTTAAGTCGTTATGTCAGTTTTTCAGACGGATCCAGACTGAACCACAATGTATGTCTATTGGTGGGCAGTTGTAAATGGTTTGTCACATGGGTACATCCACCTACATCCATGTCTGTTCAGGTCAGTTTTTTTTTAAACGGAACAGCCAAAGTCCAGAACAATTGAAACGGAATGGAACATATGTAAACGGATGGCATCTGTTTACATTCGTTTACATCTGTTCCATTCCGTTTCAATTGTTCTGACTTTGGCCAGAACAATTGAAACGGAATGGAACAGATGTAAACGGATGCCATCAGTTTACATCCATTCTGTTTATGTCCATTTTTAGGCAAGAAACATTTTTGTTTATATTTTTGTCACCTCTAAAACGGATGTATACTGATATAAACTGATCTGAACTGATATAAACTGATGTAAAGTTAAATTAATTGAACTGCAAACTGATGTAAACAGAACTGAACCGCAAACTGATAAACTGAAGTAAACTGAATCCGTTCTTTCTTTGAAAAAACATGCTTGAACGGATGATGTTCATGTGAAAAGGGCCTAAGTGATTCAAGGGTCACCCTGTTTGGAGAGAGTTCTTCTATACATGGGTGTGACACTGTGGTGTTCGGATTGATAAGAAGTTTGGGTGCACACACGGCTTATTCAAGTATATTGGATTTTGCACTTTATATTTATGTGAACACATTTTTTTTACATTTTTATTTTGGTTGTTTTGAAATATTACACTATGGTTATTTTTTTGGATTCTTTGGGAGAGCATAAGAAATAGAAAAAAAGTTTATGTATCCAATGTGGAAGGGGAAGAGCGACATTTGGTGACCAATAAGGCATTTACCAACAAGCTTGAATGGTCCCATTTATTTATGAGGGTCTGTTTATTTGGTGAGCATTTATGTTATTTGACTATATGACTTTTTTTTAAGACTTTGATTGGGGATGGGGCATTGAGTTATAACCTTGCATGCTGGGAATATATAATTTTTAAATACGGATATATTCAGCATATAGAATATTTCCCCTACAGGCACACAATTATTAAAAATTATCATACATATTGTACAATAAGAGAGAATTAGTAAGAATGAGAACTGTCACATTTTTCTGGCATAGGGATTGGGGTGGTTGAGTACTGGACTCCAAACTCTGAGATGATACCTGTATTATGGCTGTCTGGGTCTTGATGCCATAGAAGAGCCTTGATGAGACTCCTGGATAAACCAACGTATGCATAGGGAATGGGAGAGAGCTTGCATTCAAGAAAATTAATTCAAACACAATAAAGTCTTTTAAAGATGGACCACCAACACATTTCAGGGGTTATGCAAAAGGCCACTTAGCCTAGGCTTATGTCTATTGTGCTGAAAAAGTCTGAACGAATGATTAATGTCCTCGCATAATATTTAATAGATTCACTTTTAGCTATCACTTGTCAATTGTGTAGTGCTGCTTATTATCAATATATTTACATGTATTTTTCTCTTATTTGCAGTTCTATCCATTTACCAAAAAAACTTGTGGCACAAAGACATTTCTATTTCTGAGACCCATGCATCAAGGTGAATATTTTCAAGAGCTACAATGCAATTGCAATACTGTCTTGAAACAATTAACAAATCATGTGAAAAACACTGTTGGCCCAACAGCATAAGAATTCCAATGTATGTTTTTATGATAAGCACTATCTTGGCAACAATGGCTGGAAACCTTGCTGTTATCATCTCCATCGCTCATTTTAAACAACTCCATACGCCAACAAATTACTTAATCCTTTCCATGGCCACTGTGGACTTTCTATTAGGATGCCTTGTTATGCCATACAGTATGGTGAGATCGGTGGAGAATTGCTGGTATTTTGGGGACATTTTTTGTAAAATACACACAGGAACAGACATAATGCTCAGTACAGCATCAATATTCCACCTCTCCTTTATATCTGTGGACAGATATTATGCAGTATGTGATCCACTGCGCTATAAGGCAAAAATAAACAAGTTTACTGTTCTTGTCATGATTCTAACCAGCTGGGTTATCCCTGCTATTTTTGCATTTGGCATGATCTTTCTCGAGCTGAATATAAAAGGCTCAGAAATACTTTTTTACAATGAAGTCTACTGTGTTGGAGGTTGCTTTGTATTTTTTAGTGAAACATCAGGGATTATTGCATCTATGCTTTCATTCTTTATTCCAGGATTTGTTATGATCTGCATATATGGAAAGATATACCTAATTGCCAGGAGACAAGCAAGATTAATAAAAGATGCCACTAATCAGATACAATTCCAGGCAAATTTTATAAAGTCACATACATCACGATGCAGAGAAAGAAAAGCAGCCAAGACTCTGGGTACAATAATGGGGGTGTTCTTGATTTGTTGGTCGCCTTTCTTTTTCAGTACAGCTATCGGTCCATTTACAAACTATAACATCCCCTCGATTGTCATTGATGCTTTTGTATGGGTTGGATATTTAAATTCAACCTTTAACCCCATGGTCTATGCTTTCTTCTACATGTGGTTCCGAAGGGCACTAAAAACTGATTCTGTTTGGAAAGATTTTTCAAACGGATTCTTCAAGAACTGTTTTGTATCTGGAATGATAGGATATTTAAAGGAATAAAAGGAAAGCTTTTCTACTACTAAGTTAAAAATTGAAATTACACGACAGTTTGTCAAGGTCAGTATTTACAGAAGAACGATCACACAATTGCACTAAAAAGGACACAAGAACTAATCTCTTTTAGAGATACCATCAACTATGTAGTGCTGGGGTCTGCTGCTTTTATCCATTTACAATGAATGGTTTAGGTGTGTCCTCATATTACATGGTTTTGGTACATCTAAAGGAGATTGTACAGAGTTTGCACAATCAGATTGGCCAGCTTTCAGCCTTGATCAGTCCATTAAGCTGAAAACCATGTTGTTTTGGTGCTGCCTTATGGGGTCGTTGGAGGACAGTTACTACTGCATACTACCGCCTACATAAAGATGATCATGGCTGCTGCCTGCAGGAGCTTGGGATATACAACTGATTCTACTTCCACACCAAATCTGCAGTGGAAATATTTCAATTCCAGGACAAAGGCAAGGATTTTATATGTGCTTTCTCAAATGGCCAGGGACAGGCATAGTAGGTCTGAATTAGAATCTGGATAAGTGCTATTTCCAAAAAGCACCAGAACTTTTGTTTCCAATTTTAAATTTGTGTATGTGACTGTTACATTAAAGACCAAGAAATAATATTTGTGGCATTTATTTAAAATAGCCAATAACTGTGATGACATAAAACTGTATATAATAGTTTCTGTGAGCTCTATAAAATGGAATACACTGTTGTCTTGAGAAAGACAGCCAGTGTGCCATTGAACGTTGATATAATAAACGTTGCTGATTTGCACTAACTCTTGTTTCAGGACATGTGAATGTATCCAATACATTTGGATTAGAATAAATAGTCTTTTAATTTGTATGTTGTAAATGTATTACAGTATGTGAAACAAATTTGATAGTGTAACACCTATGTATATAGAAACTCCTGTCATGCTATTAAGTCTTTTATTTGACAATGTTTATTGATTCATACACATGAGTGCTTTCACCTGTACAGCATAACAAAATAGTGTATTTCAGCTCCAAGGAGGCACAGGTCATTTATACAGCCTGTTGCCAGCAGCCTGTCAAGATCAATGTCAGGCTGACATGCACTTTGGTTATATGCGTTTGCAAACATGTCCAAGAGTTACTTGGGCAAAAGGTCATATGATTACAATGACTTATGCCCCCTGATGCAGACTTTCTACATTTGGGCCATAATTCCTGTATGTGTGTACTGCTCAGATTTATGTACAGTTGTGTACAGTAATAGTATATTTCATCCTGTCATTGATTTTAACAGGCTTCTGCTGAGGGCTGTATATACCACTTGTGCCTGCCAGGTGAAAAAAATACTGTACTCGACTGTACTTTAATGCTGAACTGGTGAATTTGCCAGTGTCATGGATATTGACCTTGATGTCAGCTGAAAAAGTACCAAAGCAAAAAAAAATATATTAATGCAGGCCACTTTTAAGTGTTGCATTTGTGAAGGCATTACATCAAGGGCAACAATATATTAACCACTCAATTGAGTGTACTAGTGTTCTTGCAGGTTAGCAGATACAGTAATTTTTCCAACAAAGGACACAATGGCTTTTCAAAATGTAAGTGATTTAAGCCTTTCCAAGTACAGAAAAATGCTTTGATGTGCCAGATATCGAGTGTGTTCCTAACTGTTTGAGCTGCTCTGAAATCTCAGGCAACGTTGTCAACCCTGCCTGTTCGACTACTGAACACTGCCTAAATAAACACATCTCCTCAACAAATATTGATTTCTCTCACAATGTGGCACCTGGGAGGTGGGAGAGGACTCCAGGCAGCTCATTGGGCTAGCTTTTTAACCTCAGGGTGGAATCCTTGACTCTTTGTTGGGTGGACGAAATTGTTACTTTAGAATATTTCAAGAGCAATTTAAGGCACAATAAACTCAAGGAGAAGTTTAGGATATCCATAAAGCGACAAAATTCAACTACAGACTTCAAAACATCACAAAGCAACACAAGTGCCTTTAAACTTAACAGCCAGAATTTCCTGCAATGACCACAGCTTCTCCTCAGCTCTCCAAGACAATTTTCAGCAGCAAAGCTTCCATTCAATATTTTCCATGCAGGCAGCCATCTCCTTGCTCCACTGCTTCTGGATGTGCCCTCCAGCAGGGCAGCATTTAACCATTCTGGCCCCTTGACACAGGGCCACTCATGGCTCCATCCTCCCCAGGCAGCAGGCCTGGGAGGCAAACACCTTCAACACAGCCTCCTCTCCTTGCAACAGTCCAGGAGGCAACTACGACCTTAAATATTTATATCTTTCCCCAGCATGGACCACTGACAATAAAATAGTGGTTTGGCCAGGAAGACATAAAGCATTAATAATTTAGCAATATTGTTTCTATTGTAATCTGCTGAGGAATACTCCCTTTCAACAGGCATAAGCAAACAATACCCCGAGCGTAAGGAAAATCCAAAAAAACAGAACTATAATAATTCCAGCTCTGGCTGACTATAACCTAGATACAGCAATACATTACACTAGCAAAACAAAGATGCTGCCTTGACACAATGTGTGCAAGGCTGGATTTATACCTCTTTTCCGCCTAGGTCAAATGTTTTATTTTGCTCTGGAGGTGGGTACATTGAAAGAGACAGTTTTCCCATTTAGTGTTGAAACACCTAGAGCCAACAACTGGAAGAATAGGACAACTCTCCCCCTACTGTGCTAGCTATTTGGTTCTAGATCTGCAGACTTATAGGAAGAAAACTGTAAATAGACAATACAAAATGCACATATTGTAAAAAGAGAACTGGGATGCAACTGAATAGCATTGGCAGGCGGAATGACAGCTTAGAACTTATCATACACTGGAGTATAGTACTGACAGTCAGCAACATGATTTGTGGGTAACTTTGTGCTAGCTCTTGTCAACCCTGCTTCCCTAAGCTATGGCCTATTACATATGCAGAAATCCAGCCTGGGCTGAGTGTAGGGATTCTTAGGAGGTGGCTATTTGGGGGGCTGTCTACATCTACAGGAATTGAGCTCCAAGCAGCTGCCCCTGGAAGAGTTTTTCAAGTCTGGTGATCACATCACAGGGAATAATAAAAGCTATTTCTTGTAAAAGAAAAATTGAGTGCTAGAGAGGGAGAGGAAGGTTTGAGTATACAGCTGGATCATAACTATACAAATTAACATCAAATGTCCTTATTGCTGGGATTCTGTATGCACCCAGGCATGAAGTTTATTCCTAATTTTTCTATCTTTTGTTACTATATACTGATTTTCTTATGCATACAAAGTCTACACTGGAAAACAACCTCAGCTGTCACTGTTCATAAATAATAAGCAATTTTATTTTTTGCAATAAAAGTTAAAATAAAATATGATGTTACATATTGTTTGCAATACTTTCCGTTTACCTTTGTACAAATAGTGGTATTTCAAAGGCAATACTATTTTAAAATAGAAATTGAGGGGTTAATTTACCAAATGTTTGCCTGACCTACAACCCAGAGCTTAGGACCAAATAAAGCTAAGAGAAATTTACAAAAAGTTGTGTTTGAAGGTAACATATTTTTAGTGGAATGAGAGATACACAGCAGTGTGCTGAATGGCAGTTTAAAATGGGGCTAACATGCCTACCTGTGAGCATAGGATTTAACTGATTGAGTTTGATAGGGGGTACTGTCTGTCAACTCACCATGTTGCATTAAAGTTTCCATGACTGCAAAGCACAGCACGTGAAGAGCCTCCTCTAGCTGTTGTTTACGCTTTGAGTGAGTGGCTGAGGACTGGTGAAACTCCAGCTCAACTGCCTAATGTTACCACCCCCAGCCACCCATGTGAAAGAGGCATAAGGAAGGCTATACATTAATCATTGGCACAACCTTTTTTTTTTTTTTTCATTCAACTAGCAGGTTGAACGAAAAAAAAAAAAGATCTATTCCCCCATCCTCAGATTCAAGGTAGATGGGGGAATAACTCCCGGCCATTTTGTTAGGGTACACCTGTTCAATTGCCCGGTAACACAAATTGATAATCAGCCAATCACATGGCAGCAACTCAATGCATTTAGGCATGTAAACATGGTGAAGATGACTTGCTGAAGTTCAAAACAAGCATCAGAATGGGGACTTTGAATGTGGCATGGTTGTTGGTACTAGATGGGCTGGTTTTTCAAAAACTGCTGATCTACTGGGATTTTCATGCACAACTATCTCTAGGGTTTACAGAGAATGGTCCAAAAAAGAGAAAATATCTAGTGAGCAGCAGTTATGTGGATGAAAATGCCTTGTTGATGTCAGAGGTCAGAGGACAATGAGCAGTCTGGTTGCTGCATCATTCAGATGGTAGGGTCAGAATTTGGCATAAACATGAAAGCATGGATCCATCCTGCCTTGTATTAACGGTTCAGACTGGTAGTGGTGGTGTAATGGTGTGGGGGATAGTTTTTTGGCACTAGCAGGTGTACATAATAAAGTGGCTGGTGAGTGTATATTGTGAATGTGTTGTTTGTTTAAAGTAAGACTGTCTCTATTTATCATTAGAACTGAAATCCAGGCAAACAACTAAATAGGCAGATGAAATGGAAATATGTGGAAATTTGACAATTGTTTTACCTGGTGAAGAATTGGTTTATTTTGTCCATTCATTCCTAATATTTGCTTGCTCTGCAAGACTGTACAGTCAGTTTGAATACCTAACAGTTAAAGGCTAAGTTCACCTTTTTGAAAAAAATAATAAATGTATATAATCTTGTAGGGAAAAATATTTTTTATTTTTTCTTTCTG